AAAAAATAAGTCTCAGCCCAATGATATTCACCAATCACGGAAGTCCAGAAGAAAAATCACACATCACGCATTATGAAAATAGTAATCATGCCTCATTCAGCTTATTTGGATCCGATCAAGTATGATGCTGATAATTTGGGATGGGCCATCATCAAACGTCACGGAAAACTCCTTATGCCACCCTCCCTGTGCTTCACTCAGAATAAACTGAATTATGTAAAAATGACTTCCTTCTGTTTATGTTTTTTTTTGTTCAAGACCCGTCACATCTACCATAAATTTCTATACATGCTAAACCTACATGTAAGTTGTAAATTCTGTTGTGTTTCTGGGGTATTGCACCTGTAAAATGTATTTTTGGCAATTCTTAGATGTTCCAGGTGGAGACAGGTGTACAGTGCAAGAAACAGAGGTTCACTTGATGACCCTTACAATGATGTAAGTTCTGAGAGTGTATTTTCATCATTTTTTTAAGTGGCCTTTTAATTCTCAACAGGCTGGGGCTATGACATCATGCAGTATGAGCATGGATAAAATAGATTTTAAGTCAATATCACAATAATGATAATCAAGAGGTTTACGATGCAAGTGCACGTTAGTGTTTCATTATTTAAGCCAAGGGGTTCTGTTCCCACAATTTTATTTATTTAGCAACAGGACCAAGTGGTAGAAGGCCATTGACTCTATTAGTGCTCATCCACCCTGCCTTCAACAGTCTTTTGTTAGATTTGCCTACTGCAGGTGGCATTTACAGGTGTGACTAAAAGGTCCCATAACTCAATCCCTATTAACCTATAATGCCTTCAACACTTCAGCCACACCCGCACCAGTTCTCCTGCAAACTTAACCCAGCATATGAAATCTACTCACTGCAATCTGCTGCTGCTGCATGAGTGACTGTCCATTTTTTCCACTTACAAATACATTGATGCGACCTCTTACGACATTTTGCACCATTTAATTCCCAATTTATTTTTACACTCAGCTTTCAGGAGGCTGTTTCTAAGCTAACCTGTTTTATAATGTAAAAATTGATTGAGCTCTTTCATTGTCATTTCATCAGGATAGTATGATGATAACTTTAGCCCCTGGATATGTCTTGTCCAGAAACAAAGAAAAGATTAATGTAACTATAACAGATGAATTCTTCAAAGAAGGTTCCACTAAGGTAGGTTTGGCCTCACCAACTTTTTAATACCCTTTAATATGTATACGCGGTGTAAGTTTTGACAATGTACATGAATTGTGTTTCCTCGAATAATAGCCGCCCCTTGA